GAGCAGAGGGACTGGACCCTACTTCTACCTGGTTTAGCCTGGGCATCTTTCTGTGAAAGCCGGCACCTGGCCACATGCCTCCACAGCGACTTTCGCTTAAGCAATGCCCCACAGTCTATACAGTGCAAAAACTCACTGGATTTAACTGGGGAATTTGGCTGTTTAGCTGGGACTAAAGTTCCAATGCCGGCCTTTAAAACCTCAAAATTGTGCTCACGGTTTCCACTATTCCTGATCAAATCAAACTGAAGTTTACGTGCTTTAGATTTCACAGGTAGAGCCAATGCTCTGGCTACGTCACTTTCATTTCCATGTTTTCTAGTCAAATGACGGGACATTTTGTGGCAGGACATTGAACAGTAGAGGCAGAAGTGTCTCTTGCTGTATACTCGCCCCCCATTTTTCTTCTTTTGCAGCTGCATGATAACAATCTTATTTGCCTTTGGTTCGTCACTTTCCGAGTCTTGAAGAAAAGTGTTTTTGATTTTTCTTTTTCCATACTTTTTTACAGGTTTCTTCTTGACAGTTAAATCGTCAGAATCTGAGTCGACTTCATCAATTAGGGACTCTTGACTAAGCTGCACAAACAACAAATAATTTGTAATCATTCTATATAACAATTTGAAGTCATGACTTGTAGTCAGCACTTACCAGTGGTTTGTAAGCGTGCGCTTCAGTGTGCTCCTCCATGATTTCTTGCAGCCTAATGAACCACACACTTGCACCTTTTTCTAGCCTGACACCTGATTTCCTCTGTTGTGCTGCTCCATGATTGGCTCCAGCCTGCTGGACTGAAATTGCCCCAGTGTGCCCCTCCTTGATATCCCGCAACCCACCACCAGGGTTCCGACACATAACACACTTTTTTCAGGAAAGTAAACCTCCAGGGGTCCTTTCCATATTTTTACAGAGACTGCATAAGGACCGTTAGAAAAGCATTACCCATTGATTATTAAGCTTGGACCAGTGGGGTCCGGTGTTCGGGCCCCACCACGTAAAACCAGTCCCCATGACGTGAGTGGAATCTCAGGTTATGGAACCCACCAGGAGTTGAAAACAAGTGCACACATATTCTCAAAGAATAAGGGTGGGCGCATTTCTCCCCGGGAGAGAGCGCATGAAATTTGTCTTGAAAAAGAGCAATGACAGGTCCCAGAACCAAGGGGAGTCCCTGGAGGTTTTAACCCCGAAAAAAGCCCTTAAATCCGGCTTAAAATAGGGCCATGCGGGTCCCAGAACCGGGGGGATTCTGTGGAGGTTCTATCCCCGAAAAAAGCTTAGAAATCCGGACATAAATGCAGCACTGGAAAGCCAGAGACCCAGGGGGGTCCTCGGAGGTTTTAACCCCGAAAAAAGCCCTTAAATCCGGCTTAAAATAGGGCCATGCGGGTCCCAGAACCGAGGGGATTCTGTGGAGGTTCTATCCCCGAAAAAAGCTTAGAAATCCGGACAGAAATAAAAGTAAACTCCTCATTAACCGTTTGTCACACTCACCATTTTTGGCTAAGAGAGAGAGAGATCAGAGTGAGAGACCAGAGGGAGAGAGGCCAGAGGGAGAGAGACCAGAGAGAGAGAGGCCAGAGGGAGATAGCAGAGAGAGAGATCAGAGAGAGAGAGACCAGAGTGAGAGAGGCCAGAAGGAGAGAGCAGAGAGACCAGAGAGAGAAACCAGAGGGAGAGACCTGAAATAGGGCACAGAGAGAGCAGAGAGAGACCAAAGAGACACCAAAGAGAGAGCAGAGAGACACCAGAGAGAGACCAGAGAGAGAGACACCAGAGAGAGACCATAGAGACACCAAAGAGAGAGCAGAGAGACACCAGAGAGAGACCAGAGAGAGAGACACCAGAGAGAGACCAGAGAGACACCAAAGAGAGAGCAGAGAGACACCAGAGAGAGACCAGAGAGAGAGACACCAGAGAGAGACCAGAGAGACACCAAAGAGAGAGCAGAGAGACACCAGAGAGAGACCAGAGAGAGAGACCAGAGAGACACCAAAGAGAGACCAGAGAGAGACCAGAAAGAGAGAAAAAGTGCTCTCTCTGTTCTCTAGTGTGATTCGTCTTAAATTCAGATATGAGTCGTATAAGGATGGACCAATCAGAGAAGGGGAAACTCTAGGGTCCCTTAGCAACCGTCTTAGCAACACATCTGCCCCTGTGACTGCTCAAAGCTAACGCCATCAGAACAAATGCCCTTATAAGGAAACTGGCTCCAGCTTATGTTCAAATGCATTAGGCCAGGCATGTCCAAACCAAGGCCCGCGGGCCAAATGCGGCCCACTGTTTCATCTTATGTGGCCCTCTGCCTTGCTAACACAAACTATACATTGAGCCACTTTCACAGAGTCATCCAACCAACTTCAGCTCCACCATGCTGCACCTTGTTGTAAAGCCTTTGGAAGTTGGCCATTCACATTTATCTGTACATTCTTCTTAATGAGCCTGAAAAGCAGAATGTTGTCGGCCTCTCAGTCTCTCTCAGTCTCTCTCGGCCTCTCTGTCTCTCTCAGTCTCTCAGTCTCTCTCAGTCTCTCTCAGTCTCTCTCGGCCTCTCTGTCTCTCTCAGTCTCTCAGTCTCTCTCAGTCTCTCTCAGTCTCTCTCGGCCTCTCTCGGCCTCTCTGTCTCTCTCAGTCTCTCAGTCTCTCTCGGCCTCTCTGTCTCTCTCAGTCTCTCTCAGTCTCTCTCAGTCTCTCTCAGTCTCTCTCAGTCTCTCTCGGCCTCTCTGTCTCTCTCAGTCTCTCAGTCTCTCAGTCTCTCTCGGCCTCCCTGTCTCTCTCAGTCTCTCTCAGTCTCTCAGTCTCTCTCGGCCTCTCTGTCTCTCTCAGTCTCTCAGTCTCTCTCAGTCTCTCTCAGTCTCTCTCGGCCTCTCTCGGCCTCTCTGTCTCTCTCAGTCTCTCAGTCTCTCTCGGCCTCTCTGTCTCTCTCAGTCTCTCTCAGTCTCTCTCAGTCTCTCTCAGTCTCTCTCAGTCTCTCTCGGCCTCTCTGTCTCTCTCAGTCTCTCAGTCTCTCTCGGCCTCCCTGTCTCTCTCAGTCTCTCTCAGTCTCTCAGTCTCTCTCGGCCTCTCAGTCTCTCTCAGTCTCTCAGTCTCTCAGTCTCTCTCGGCCTCCCTGTCTCTCTCAGTCTCTCAGTCTCTCTCGGCCTCTCAGTCTCTCTCAGTCTCTCAGTCTCTCAGTCTCTCTCGGCCTCTCTGTCTCTCTCAGTCTCTCTCAGTCTCTCAGTCTCTCAGTCTCTCAGTCTCTCTCGGCCTCTCTGTCTCTCTCAGTCTCTCTCGGCCTCTCTGTCTCTCTCGGCCTCTCTGTCTCTCTCAGTCTCTCTCAGTCTCTCAGTCTCTCTCGGCCTCTCTGTCTCTCTCAGTCTCTCTGTCTCTCTCAGTCTCTCTCAGTCTCTCAGTCTCTCTCGGCCTCTCTGTCTCTCTCGGCCTCTCTGTCTCTCTCAGTCTCTCTCAGTCTCTCAGTCTCTCTCGGCCTCTCTGTCTCTCTCAGTCTCTCTGTCTCTCTCTGTCTCTCTCAGTCTCTCTCAGTCTCTCTCAGTCTCTCTCGGCCTCTCAGTCTCTCTCAGTCTCTCAGTCTCTCAGTCTCTCTCGGCCTCTCTGTCTCTCTCAGTCTCTCTCAGTCTCTCTCAGTCTCTCAGTCTCTCAGTCTCTCTCGGCCTCTCTGTCTCTCTCAGTCTCTCTCGGCCTCTCTGTCTTTCTCAGTCTCTCTCGGCCTCTCTGTCTCTCTCAGTCTCTCAGTCTCTCTCGGCCTCTCTGTCTCTCTCAGTCTCTCTCAGTCTCTCTCAGTCTCTCTCAGTCTCTCTCAGTCTCTCAGTCTCTCTCGGCCTCTCAGTCTCTCTCAGTCTCTCAGTCTCTCAGTCTCTCTCGGCCTCTCTGTCTCTCTCAGTCTCTCAGTCTCTCTCGGCCTCTCTGTCTCTCTCAGTCTCTCTGTCTCTCTCAGTCTCTCTCAGTCTCTCAGTCTCTCTCGGCCTCTCAGTCTCTCTCAGTCTCTCAGTCTCTCAGTCTCTCTCGGCCTCTCTGTCTCTCTCGGCCTCTCTGTCTCTCTCAGTCTCTCAGTCTCTCAGTCTCTCTCGGCCTCTCTGTCTCTCTCAGTCTCTCTCGGCCTCTCTGTCTCTCTCAGTCTCTCTCGGCCTCTCTGTCTCTCTCAGTCTCTCTCAGTCTCTCAGTCTCTCAGTCTCTCTCGGCCTCTCTGTCTCTCTCAGTCTCTCAGTCTCTCAGTCTCTCTCGGCCTCTCTGTCTCTCTCGGCCTCTCAGTCTCTCTCAGTCTCTCAGTCTCTCAGTCTCTCAGTCTCTCTCAGTCTCTCAGTCTCTCAGTCTCTCACAGTCTCACAGTCTCTCAGTCTCTCAGTCTCTCACAGTCTCACAGTCTCTCAGTCTCTCAGTCTCTCAGTCTCTCACAGTCTCACAGTCTCTCAGTCTCTCAGTCTCTCAGGCCCTGTCCACACGAAGTCAAGCTCAGGCCTAAACGCAAAAATACTTTATCAATCCAGTGTATCGTCCATACGAGGCCGGCGTTTTGGGGGGGTGTAAACGAACATTTTTGAAACCAGGTCCCAGAGTGGAAAGATTTCAAAACTCCGTATATGCCGCTCCGTGGTTACTGCCTCTCCGCAATGTATCTGAGACGCTTGCGTCATCGCCCGCCTCTTGTTAAAGCACGCATGCGCCGCACTCAGAAAATAATGACAACAACAATGTAGCTTGTTGGTTTTGTAATCCAGTGTGACCCGAAGCAACAGTTCAACCTCATCGTCCGTCCATACTAATGTAGTACCAGCTCGCCCACTCGCCATGTTGTCTGTTTACAAAATTCCGCGCATGCCCACGGAAGTTTGGGCTTGATCCCGTCATTGCGTCACAGCGCCACCAACAGGTCTGGCATAGTTTCACAGCGTTTTCAGGCGTATTGACTACATTCATATGGACGCACACATTTACTGAGCTAACTCCGTGTTTACAGAAAAAGTTTCTGAAATTATAAGCGTTTTGTCTTCGTGTGGATATAGTGTCAGTCTCACAGGTCTGAGGGTGGGACCTGGGAACTGGGCTCCTGTCTGTCAGCACCTGTTGTGGTCCTGGGACAACGCCTCAGTCTCAGCGTGGTCACACCCTCCTACTCTACTCTACTCTACTCTACTCTACTCTACTCTACTTTAATATATTCTAGGGTAGAGTAGAGTAGAGTAGAGTAGAGTAGAGTAGAGTAGAGTAGAGTAGAGTAGGGTAGAGTAGAGTAGAGTAGAGTAGAGTAGAGTAGAGTAGAGTAGAGTAGAGTAGAGTAGAGTAGAGCAGAGCAGAGTAGGGTAGAGTAGAGTAGAGTAGAGTAGAGTAGAGTACCCTGTGCTCTGGGAAAGCGCACACTTCCTTCCTCTTGTTTGTCTCTGTTTCTTATGTAAGTTTCCTCTGAGAGTGGTCCTGGGTCTACAGCATCAGTCCTGGGTCTACAGCCTCAGTCCTGGGTCTACAGCCTCAGTCCTGGGTCTATAGCCTCAGTCCTGGGTCTACAGCCTCAGTCCTGGGTCTACAGCCTCAGTCCTGGGTCTACAGCCTCAGTCCTGGGTCTACAGCCTCAGTCCTGGGTCTACAGCCTCAGTCCTGGGTCTACAGCCTCAGTCCTGGGTCTACAGCCTCAGTCCTGGGTCTACAGCCTCAGTCCTGGGTCTACAGCCTCAGTCCTGGGTCTACAGCCTCAGTCCTGGATCTACAGCCTCAGTCCTGGGTCTACAGCATCAGTCCTGGGTCTACAGCCTCAGTCCTGGGTCTACAGCCTCAGTCCTGGGTCTACAGCATCAGTCCTGGGTCTACAGCCTCAGTCCTGGGTCTACAGTCCTGGGTCTACAGCCTCAGTCCTGGGTCTACAGCCTCAGTTCTGGGTCTACAGCTTCAGTACTGGGTCTACAGCATCAGTCCTGGGTCTACAGCCTCAGTCCTGGGTCTACAGCCTCAGTCCTGGGTCTACAGCCTCAGTCCTGGGTCTATAGCCTCAGTCCTGGGTCTACAGCCTCAGTCCTGGGTCTACAGCCTCAGTCCTGGATCTACAACATCAGTCCTGGGTCTACAGCCTCAGTCCTGGGTCTACAGCCTCAGTCCTGGGTCTACAGCCTCAGTCCTGGGTCTATAGCCTCAGTCCTGGGTCTACAGCCTCAGTCCTGGGTCTACAGCCTCAGTCCTGGGTCTACAGCCTCAGTCCTGGGTCTACAGCCTCAGTCCTGGGTCTACAGCCTCAGTCCTGGGTCTACAGCCTCAGTCCTGGGTCTACAGCCTCAGTCCTGGGTCTACAGCCTCAGTCCTGGATCTACAGCCTCAGTCCTGGGTCTACAGCCTCAGTCCTGGGTCTACAGCCTCCTCAGTCCTGGGTCTACAGCCTCAGTCCTGGGTCTACAGCCTCAGTCCTGGGTCTACAGCCTCAGTCCTGGGTCTACAGCCTCCTCAGTCCTGGGTCTACAGCCTCAGTCCTGGATCTACAGCCTCAGTCCTGGGTCTACAGCCTCAGTCCTGGGTCTACAGCCTCCTCAGTCCTGGGTCTACAGCCTCCGTCCTGGATCTACAGCCTCAGTTCTGGGTCTACAGCCTCAGTCCTGGGTCTACAGCCTCAGTCCTGGGTCTACAGCCTCAGTTCTGGGTCTACAGCCTCAGTCCTGGATCTACAGCCTCAGTCCTGGATCTACAGCCTCAGTTCTGGGTCTACAGCCTCAGTCCTGGATCTACAGCCTCAGTCCTGGATCTACAGCCTCAGTCCTGGGTCTACAGCCTCAGTCCTGGGTCTACAGCCTCAGTCCTGGATCTACAGCCTCAGTCCTGGATCTACAGCCTCAGTCCTGGATCTACAGCCTAAATTGTAGTGCAGTTGTGTTATCTGTTGTAGTGTGCGTTTGGCCTGTTGTGTAGCAGTTGTGTTACCTGCTGTAGTGTGCGTTTGGTCTGTTGTGTAGCAGTTGTGTTACCTGCTGTAGTGTGCGTTTGGCCTGTTGTGTAGCAGTTGTGTTACCTGCTGTAGTGTGCGTTTGGCCTGTTGTGTAGCAGTTGTGTTACCTGCTGTAGTGTGCGTTTGGCCTGTTGTGTAGCAGTTGTGTTACCTGCTGTAGTGTGCGTTTGGCCTGTTGTGTAGCAGTTGTGTTACCTGCTGTAGTGTGCATTTGGCCTGTTGTGTAGCAGTTGTGTTACCTGCTGTAGTGTGCGTTTGGCCTGTTGTGTAGCAGTTGTGTTACCTGCTGTAGTGTGCGTTTGGCCTGTTGTGTAGCAGTTGTGTTACCTGCTGTAGTGTGCGTTTGGCCTGTTGTGTAGCAGTTGTGTTACCTGCTGTAGTGTGCGTTTGGCCTGTTGTGTAGCAGTTGTGTTACCTGCTGTAGTGTGCGTTTGGTCTGTTGTGTAGCAGTTGTGTTACCTGCTGTAGTGTGCGTTTGGCCTGTTGTGTAGCAGTTGTGTTACCTGCTGTAGTGTGCGTTTGGCCTGTTGATTAGCAGTTGTGTTACCTGCTGTAGTGTGCGTTTGGCCTGTTGTGTAGCAGTTGTGTTACCTGCTGTAGTGTGCGTTTGGCCTGTTGTGTAGCAGTTGTGTAGCAGTTGTGTTACCTGCTGTAGTGTGCGTTTGGCCTGTTGTGTAGCAGTTGTGTAGCAGTTGTGTTACCTGCTGTAGTGTGCGTTTGGCCTGTTGTGTAGCAGTTGTGTAGCAGTTGTGTTACCTGCTGTAGTGTGCGTTTGGCCTGTTGTGTAGCAGTTGTGTAGCAGTTGTGTTACCTGCTGTAGTGTGCGTTTGGCCTGTTGTGTAGCAGTTGTGTAGCAGTTGTGTTACCTGCTGTAGTGTGCGTTTGGCCTGTTGTGTAGCAGTTGTGTAGCAGTTGTGTTACCTGCTGTAGTGTGCGTTTGGCCTGTTGTGTAGCAGTTGTGTTAGCAGTTGTGTTACCTGCTGTAGTGTGGTGTATTTTTTGATATGTGTTCTCAATAGTAATAGCTCGTGCTGATCCTCAATTGTTAGGGAAGAAGAAGACACATAATACAGAAAAATACAGATGTGAACTTTTCTTGGGGATGATAAACTTTGATAACACGTTGTGTTCTACTGTCTACTGTGATGAATTACTTAACTCTGTCACCCCACTGTTTGAATGTTCAGGTACAATTGCTCCTGTAAAGGGTAAAATGGTTACAAATAAGCAAAAGGCGCCATGGACTAAAGCAGACTCGGTCAGGGCACAGAAGAGAGAGTGCTGGAGGGCAGCGGAAGTGGCAAAAGTCAAATCTCCAAGTTGACGATGAGATCTTCAAATCATTGTGGGGGGGGGCAAGTTTCAACAGTGTGCTACGTAGAACGAGGGAACTTATTTTTCGAAACAATCGATAGTTTTGCAGTAACAATCTACGCGTTCTGTTCCAACAGTAAATAAATTGACAACTCCCCCCTTTTAAGATGCCATCAAGAAGCTTACCTCCAAAACCAAATGTAATGAGTTTGCAAGTTTTTTTAATGACAAGTCAAGGCATCAAAATGCCATCACCTCCACAGAAGAAATAACAATCCAAAGCCAGTGAAGCGTTTTGGCAGACCACTTACCCCCATACAAAATGAAAACAGTCCAAATGATAATACAATTCTGATTTCTTCTACATGTAAGCCGGATGTATTTACCTCCTAGATTTCTTAAATTAATCTGTTCTGAGCAGTCTTTTAACCTTCACTTCCCATAATAGTAAATATGTCTCTTGACTCTGAACATTCCAATGGCCAGAAACGGCAGTCAATCAGACCCCTCCTAAAAAAGAGAGTCTGGATCCTTGGCACTTAAAAATTATCGGCCCATATCAAATCTGCCTTTCATGGGTAAAATTCTATAAAAAGATTGTCTATCAAACAACTTACAGAAATTTTTAATACTCAATCACTCTTTAATGATATGTCCAATCTGGTTTTAGACCCCCACCACAGCACAGAGACCGCTCTAGTTAAGGTAACAAATGACAACTACTTAATCTGACGCAGAAAAGATCTCAGTTCTTATCATTTAGATTTAAGTGTCTGCTTTCGACACTGTCGATCATGGTAACCACATTCAAGACTTTAGGGACTGAGTTGTGATGTCAGGAACACCCTAACTGGTTTATATCCTACCATACAGGACAGAAAGTAATTTTTGTGGAGATCGTGAAAACTGTATCTCAGACTCTCTGGCCCAACCCAGCGGATTGCCACAGGGATCAATCCTGGGGCCTCTCTGTTTAATTTTGACATGCTGCCTCTTGAGGTAGGTTAATACCAGTAATAACGGTCCCCTATCACAATTATGCTGACGATACTCAGTCTAATTGTCCTGACCGGCAGGAGAACATGGACCAGTGGACTCGCTCCTTCCACTGTATCCCAACAAATCAGTGATTGGATTCAAATAAACTTCTCCAGCTAAACACAAAAAAACTGAAATTACTTGAAATTTCGGACCTCAAAAACAAAATAAGTGAGCGATATCTGCACCTCCAGTCTCTCTTCCCTAAAACCCTCAACTCAGGTCATAAATCAAGGAGTAATAATGGACTCAGACTTAAATTTCAATTGCCCATAACCTCTGTGACATCATCACTACTTCCACCTAAGAAAAATTGCTAAAATTAGGACATTGTGGCTAAAAGACTTGAGATTCTTATCCACGCAATTGTCCTCCAGTTCGATTGACAACAGCAATGGCTTGTTCACAGGTCTCTCTAAACAAGGAGTTGGCGTCCTTGAGGCTAAGCAGCTTGCCATAACACTGGTACATGGTCCTGTGGGTGTATATGGTCTAGGTTACATGGTCCTGTGGGTGTATATGGTCTAGGTTTCATGGTCCTGTGGTGTATATGGTCTAGGTCACATGGTCCTGTGGTGTATATGGTCTAGGTCACATGGTCCTGTGGGTGTATATGGTCTAGGGTACATGGTCCTGTGGTGTATATGGTCTAGGGTACATGGTCCTGTGGGTGTATATGGTCTAGGTTACATGGTCCTGTGGGTGTATATGGTCTAGGGTACATGGTCCTGTGGGTGTATATGGTCTAGGTTACATGGTCCTGTGGGTGTATATGGTCTAGGTTTCATGGTCCTGTGGTGTATATGGTCTAGGT